CTAGAGGAAATTGGAATATTGAAAATAGAAACTCTAAAAGACTCTCATATAACAGTATAATGACATTTGCAGTCTTTGCAGCATAATTAAGTATATTTTAATCTTTTAGAATTGGTGTTATTAAAAGTGGTGCATCTACGCCAAAAACAGAATCAGAGAAACTTCAGATTTTATGTCAAAGTCAGTCGGTGTCAGACAATGATGATGATGATGATGAGAATGATGATGTTGATATCATTGATTGTGATGAGTTCAGTGATGATGGTCAACCTATTATGAACATAGTGAAGTCAGAACCTGGTGTAGATGATGAAGAACATATGGAAACCAATGAACAACAATGCTCAGTTGTAGAAAATGAACATGTTCAAGAACATAGTGTTCAGAATACTGATATGGACACTAGTGAACATGTTGAGAACACAAGTGAAAATCACAACATTGGTGATGAAGTGAACACAAGTGGTGATGAACCTAGCACAAGTAGTGGACATGACTTAGTTGTCTCTTCCTCAAACACCAACACCAGTATCATGACCTCTCCCAATCTTACCTCTGGTTTAAGAACTGTGAAAAACAGATCAAAAACCACCCCAATATCACAAAGATATCAAAAACCTAATACAGAATCAACTGCTACACTGCCAAAAGACAAAATTGACTTGACCAAAAGGATTGTATTAGATTCTAGTGTTATAACAGAAGGTTCGCCCCATTTCGTTCTACCAGCTAATGTGTTTCCTAATCTACCATTTAACCAAGGTGAAGAGAAGATGCAGATGGTCCTAGTTCCTGAAACTAAAGATGGTGAAACTATTTATCATGTTTATATGTTACCAGAAACAGAGGAGAATAAAAACAATGACAGTTCTATAAATAGTAACACTGATAAAGAAGTTGAACCATCTTAGCATTGTATTTGATGATAGAAATATTTTAATTTTAGTTTGGGTAAAATGAATTAATCGGCAGTTTTTTTAAAAATAAATTTAAGTTGATATCGATATAAATTTTATGCAAAAATTTCAACAAAGTCAGTTTTATAATACCTGATTGTCAAATCTGTGGTGGTAGGTGTCACATCCCAACCACCAAACTGGACCAACCAGAAGTAAAAAAAAATACTGATACTAGGCCTACTATGGATTACAGATTTTCATTAAAGTGACAGATGCACTATAAAAGAAATTTCTAGTTTAAGATATTTTTTAAGGAATTATGTGATTTTTGTACATTTCTAGTACTTCTGGTAACTATTTAAATACATTCAAGACTAAAATCAACCTTTAAAATGGCACATCTGTCCGTTAATTAAATCAAGCAATATTTTTTTCTTCTTTAGTTATCTTTGGTTTTGGTTCTATGTTTTGGTTGGAATTAAATTTCAAATATCATATTATGCAAAATTTGACTACCCTAGCTTTCATGATCAGATTTTTTCATAGGTATTTAGTGTGTTTGTGGATATTTTCTGTTAATTTTTTGAACAAACCCGGTATATTGTTATTGGGTATCTTGTTCTTGATAGACTTACAATTTCTTTGATTTTTTATCATTTGTTTCTTGTTATTATGTCAGTGCTATGTTATTCATTTGTTATTTGTATCATGATGTTTTATTGTATTAATAAGGTGATTTTAATACAAAAATAGATACATTTGTTATCATTTCTTAGCTAAAACAGAATCTCATAAGATGTAGTCATGGTAAAAATTGACTAAGGAGTTGGAAATGAGTATAATCAAAGTTGTATAATAATTGTGCACATCCAGTTAATTTTGTTGAATTTTCCTTTTAAATTATTTTGAAATAAGACTTGAACCACATTAAGAAGTAAGGAATACGCATCACGAACACAAGACAATATTATGGAATTAGCACACTTCTTTAATAAAAAAACATAACAGAATATATAACAACTAAGAATAAATAACCCTGTTAATCCTTAGTATTATTTTTAGTTGTTATATATTTTGTTATGTTGTATTCTGTCATTATTTCATCTGATAACAGCACATGTAATTTGTGTTGAAACGTTACATGATTAATATTCCATTAAAGAAGTGTGCTTATTCCATGATATTGTCTTGTCTTTGAACATAATTATATGACTGGAATTTAAAATGTTACTTTGAGATTGGCCATCTAAAAATTCTATGGCTCATGCACTTGGAATGCTTAAACTATCATTTAAACTTTGAAAATGTCTTTTTTTTTCAATTATGTATTTTTAATTCACCCAGATCCCTCTTTGCCTCATTTTAACTTAGAGCTTGATAGCTTTTATCACCATTTTGTTTTCCTGCTGGAGGTTCATAGTCACACTTGATCAGTCACTCTTGATCAGTCACATTTGATCAGTCTCACTTGGTCAGTCACATTTGATCAGTCTCACTTGATCAGTCACATTTGATCAGTCACACTTGATCAGTCTTATTTGATCAGTCACACTTGATTAGTCAATCTTGATCAGTCTCACTTGATCAGTCTCACTTGATTAGATTATGATAACACAAGAACCATTTGACTTCCATAATATTTGCAATATGGACATTGTGATGTGTTAAATTTGTCACACAAAGTACATGAGCCAAATGTGTGAGATGATATGGGAATGGCGATAAAGGTGCTATAAGGCCCCAAGTTATACAAAATTCCCTGTGAAATCCAATTGCAAGCCTCATAATTATTATACTCTGCCATTTCAATGTTTTGAATTAGTTCTCTTAATGTAACATTCCTTAGTATTCCTGTTATTTGTTTTAATCAGTTTTATTTTTCATTATTTATATCATTAATAATCATGTAGTTTATTATTACTAAAGTCAATTCTGTACTCAAACCATACTAAAAATCAAAAAAAAATTATTGGTCAACAAGAACTGTGTTATTGATAAAAAATTTTCTCAGAAATATTGTGGTATATTATGGCATTATGTTACTGCAATATTATGTTAATTCATTATGTTGGTACTATGTACACAATTATGTACTATATAATTTTTGAACACATCATGTGGATTCCCTCTTAATATTAGACATAAACTATAAGTCAATACGGTTGACGCAATATAGTTATCTTTTCATATTTGTTTTAGTTTTGATTATTACCTAATTTTTCATTTAAACACCCGGATGAGTTGGTGGTTTATTTTAAATAGATATAGCTCAGTTGGTTTTAGAGCGTTGGGATTTTTAGGTCGACCAACGGGTTCTAACCAGTTTGGGATTTCGCAAGTCTTGTGATAATGTGGGAAAGATTTTTGGGCCGAAGACCAACTGAATCGATTTTGATTGGAACTAGGAATCTGAGTTGTCTCGATTTGCAAGACTTACAATATACTTTTGAAGGCACTGATGAAGACTTGATAATTCATATCAGAGGTCACGTACAGTGACGTTTTTACATGGGGAAGGATGGGAGCAGATATTGCAATACCCACCCCCTCACCTCCCTTCAGCCTCTATAACTGAGACTGATCCGTCTATGCCATCCAGCCCGGCTTCCGTCACTATCAATCCGTCTTGACGATTCTGTAGTCGTTTTAATGCACACGTATGTCGATTTACTAACCTCTTAATAAATACCTGATAAGAAATCTACTTGTGATATTATCAATATACTGATGATAAAAGATGAACTACAAAATGATATTAAATAAATACACTCTTGTTTTGGGGGTAAGATAAATTATTCACCCTTAATTCCTTAATATTCTGTTAAATGCAATATTGAACAAGGATTCCAAATTGTTCTTAATTCTACAGTTCTACAGCCTGATCAAGTAAAAAATCTACTGACTTACCCATTTTGTACGAAGTATTCTCTTTGGTACCTATCATGGTTCTAACTGTAACATTAAGCAACCTATACTTAGTTTAAAATGTGATATTTTACCTGCCAAAGTAGTTGCAAGATAGTTTGACGCGATAAATTTCGTATTTCAGATAATTCTGGTTTGCACACAACCATGTATAACAGACGTGAATATCACCAAGGTTCATCTGATTTTTATGAACCACCTTGGTAAGATACCATTTTTTAATATATATCACGACGATTATGGTCTGTATGGGCCTGCTTGAGCACCTTGACAACTTGGACAAGCGGCAAATTCGACAGAATGCAAGGGATTATCAAACATACATAATATATTATACCGAAATTGCGGATCTTCTGGGTCGTTTTAAAGATCTGTGGAACCATAAGGGTGCTATAAGATATAGATTTTCCAAAATTTCATGGATCCCAACATGCGCCCCTGTATTAAGTGTATCTATCACGACAGCAGGTCATAATATTTTTAATTCTAATGTTATCATGATAAAAATTTAATCATCATATTCCTGAAGATGATGCTACACTTGACATTCTTGAAGACATTGACGGTTAAACACCTTTGTCTGATTTGGTGTCTGCTTGTTTACCTTTATAGATGTAGGTTTTAATGGAATAACGCCTCAGACTGGATTTGTTATTAATGTGATTAACAAATATTTCACCAAATATTTTCCTGGTGCTATAGAATTAGCCCTTCAAATGAACTTTCTGGGCTATAGAGAACGATTGATATATACTACTCATCCATGGTTAGTCAGTCTGTACCTTGACTGTCCACAAAATCTTACCATGTCTGGCATTCAACTGATGGTAAGATTCCAATACTTTCATAACGGCATACTGAAAACTATCGTACAGCAAGACATTCTAATGTTATTGAAGCAACCACTCTACCGAGGAACAGGTACAGGACACTGTGAGTAGTAAAAGCATTAAAGTCTCCATGCGTATGAACTGAAACGAAACAGGGCTGTAGTCCTTTTTCTGTCCGGCATTGGACGGGAAACAACATGCAGTGTCCATAAAAGAAATTTTATTTCAGAACAGCTACATTAGCCTACCCATTTTCATTTTTGGTTTACGTGTACAGATTGCAATAGGCACCTTTCAAATATCCGCTTGATAAAGTTTTATATATCCACAAAAAAGATTTCCCTTTAAGTGCTTTTTTCTTCTAACAGTGTCCAACTGAAGAACAGAGAGAAGGGTTTCTGTATGCAGCTAAACGTGGAGATATAACATGGCATGCGGGACCAATGAACATGCAATACGAAGCTCTAGATACTGCCATGGTAAATTTTAGTCTGAAATTATCAGAGGATATGGATGCTAGAATGGATATTAAAAGACGGCATCGGGTTCTCAGTCAAAGAGATGTTCCTGGTAAGTACGCAAAAGCTTTTCATAATATGTTCTCAAAATGTTCAGCATACCCCATTTGTAATTAGTTTGGGTAAAGCATAGAAAATATGGCGCCCGGTCTTTAGGCAGAATACCGTTGTATTCCCCAATGGTACGCATCCGTTTTGGGTCAATAATACATTCAATGTTTCAGGAATGACAAGAGCACTGATTCCAATCTTTAACAACCATGGTATAGAGGGTGTAACAGTTGGTGTTAATTCAGTGTCTTCACCACCAGCAGTTCCAAAGATCTTCAAATGGGTCTTCCAGAATTCAAGTGTCATTGCTATGTGGCATCCTGGTAAGGATAATAACGCTGAAAGTATTTATTCTGCAGAGTCTATTCTAAAAAATATCTCTGCATTTGAAAAACTTTATATCTGGAATCGGAATAGTACTCATGTACTAATAAAGTTATAGACCCCAGTCGTCATAATTATGTGGGCGTGTTATTGTCATTTCAGGAGGATATCCCATTAAACCAGGTTCTTTTCCCAGCATGCCATTAGGTCTATCAAGAGATAACTGTGTAACATTTGAACAGTTTGATGAAGCAATGTGTTTTTCATTCAGAGGTGACAACCAGGGACCACCAACATCCATAGCAGTAAGATCTTTATCTTCATCATAATGTCTAAATCATTGCTTCTAAATCGCTACATTTCCGACATGTTATCTGGAAATTAAATAATGAAGCTGTCGATTCATCTGAAACGCTTCTTACGTGGGTGCATCTATAGTGCTGAATTTCACAGCCCATGATGCAGCAGACGGCAATCCCTAGCAGTTGATGCTGAACATATGTTTTTACATCGACAGGAGGTATTGAATTCATATGAAATAGTTAGAGGTCAGTTTCCTGGTGCTATAGTTGAAGGTTCAGCTTTTGAGAATTTTGTGGAAGTAGTACAGTCCGTGAAAGATAAACTACCAGTTGTTGATCAAGAGATCGGTGATACTTGGATTCAAGGAATATCATCTGATCCTGGTAAAACAGCCATGATGAGAGGATTTTTCCGAGCCAGAACAGCTTGCTTGACATCTGGTTGGTTTTACATGATCTTAACTTTATCTTTGATATTTGGAACATCTGATGCTGCATTTGCATACGTTTGGATTGTACACGTTGTTGTTTTTTTTTTCAGCCATGCGGGTTACTTTATCGGAACGGTTGATCGTTTGTTTGGTATTCGATTAAAAATTTGATATGCGTATTAATGTCATTAGTACAGGAAGGCAGGATGAAAGAGTTTTCCACACTTCGTAAGCGTCTGTGCAATGTCTGTCAAATCATCAGTTCACATAGCTGCCTATGAATCAAATAATTGCAGTTACATTTATTCTAGGTGAATGTAATGATATACAACTACCATTCTACAACGCGAGTAGATTCCTGGTGAAGTTAGCAGAACACACATGGGGATTAAGAAGTGTCAAAGATTCAGTTAATTGGACCAATGACAAGTTCAGTACTCAACTAAAAAACAAGGGTGCATGATTAATGTTTTATTATCGAATATGTTGAACTTATGAAAGTATGATGTTTGGCATCCTGAAGCCATGATCAGTATCAGCTGATCAATATCCGCTTAACAATAAATCAAACGCTTAATTTAGCTAACAATTTTGATATTAAATATTCAATAAAACTTTTTCAGCTCCAAATTTTGAGGACGTTATCTCTTCTTGGTCAGAACAAAGACAGTTCATAGATTTAGCTTTAGAAACATTGGGAGATCATCCTTTAGTACAGGCTGTTGAAGAAGAATACAAACAACTAGTACCCCAAGCTCCGGATTTATCAAGTAAGATACCTTAGTGTACTAGCTATCTGTTTTGCATGCACTGGATTAAATTCAAGGAAGTTGCCTAGAACAATGCATTGAGGGCAGCGGGATTTAATACTCATAATGAAAATAGTTGGAAATTTAGTATTTTATGAGCTTTAAGTAACAGTTCCATTGGTTGGAACAGTCTAATAATTTTGTACCACAATAGTAGCCAAATAGTATCATTTGTATATAATTCAGAATATAAACAGCTATCCGCCACCACGTTTGACTGTCAAAATGGTTTCAAATTTAGTTTTGCTGCTGATGGATCGTTAAATAAATTACAAGATAAAGATGGCGTAAGTTTATGATTAATTGCTCTATCTTGGCTACCTCATCGAATCCATTCTAACATCTTCACAGAACATCATGCCAACTAACCAAAACTTGCCCTCACGAGTTTCGGGCTGTTAATATAATTCTGGAATTTGACTCGATTGGTTCTTTCATGTATGTGAAGAAAGGTTCAGACCAACTTGATCAGACGTGCAATTCAACCACATAGCTCAAAACCATCTCACAATGTTGATCTTAAAGAGCATAGTTATTGTACCTTACTTTTCATCTTTTCAGAGAAATTGGGCATCAAAATCTCAACCAATAGGTCAGTTATTGTATAAGACCTACAACGATACAGATTTTGACAGTTTCCAAAAGCAATATGTCCTCAATCATTATTACTGGTTTCAAGTTGGTAAATGGAATTTAACTGCAAACTGCCCAACATGCGAATCCACAATCTGGAACACCAAATTGCAGAAACTGTATGCTGCATCCGGTAAGCAATAGAATTTGTAAATGTATTGCAACAAACATTTTCTTACTTCCGATAATAAAGAACACCTCTTTTTTTTTTATCACGTTGGTAATTTAATTATTCTTATTTTAGACTCGGTTGCTAAGGTTTCCGTTTAATTTAATGAAGGCATGGATTCTCTCATGCATAGTCTCGATTAAGAATCAAAAGTATTATCTGTTGTAATTTAAGATGGCTCCTGTGACGTGGTAGCTCTATTAGCTATGGAAGAGGACAGGGCTACTTCATTTTATGGTGCTCCACCTAAAATTTATGTAAAATATTTGTCATCATCTAATACATGTAAGTATGGTGAAAACTATGTTAACATATATGCGTAGATGGGAGTATATGGCGATTAAAGTTGCAAGGGTTGTATTTGGTATTATTGCTATGCAATGCGGCGAGTAAAAGATTCATAGTTGGATTTGTTAGAAATGTCACTGTAACTAATATAATAGAAACAACTGCCAATAACCTGCTTTCAAATCAAGAACAAAAGTTTGAGTATCTCTGATTAATTTTCATTTACTAGTGTACATGGGTTTATATCTTCCCAGCAGAAGTATCAACCGATTCAGTATTGGCTTAAGAATCCTAGCAGACTCTATGGCATTTTCTTTCCAACCAAAAACATAAAAATACGACATATTTACTTAATCTGTTCTTCAGTTTTGTCAATAGAGGTTCAATTATTTGGGAAGAAGCCTACCAGATTAGCTGAATCTTTGTCACTTTCTTTCCAACCAATACGACAGGAAGGCTCCAAATGGTATCTCCATAAATTAGGTCAACTGATCGACCCTCTTAATGTAGTCACTAATGGTAGCCAAAGACTTCATGGTAAGTGGAAGAATGAAAAATATAGAAGACTCCTTATGTGGACTTCCTTTATAGATTATAGCAATCTGTAGGTTCCTGACGATACTTTGATATCACGTATAGTGATCCTGGTCACTAATCGCTTATAGGTTTAACCTTAATTCCGATGTCAGCTTTCTGTCACCAAGATTTAGTACTTTAAATCATCAATGTCAAGGTGACACAAGCTCCTGTCGAGGGCTATGATTGGCTGTATTCGCTGGCTTACAATCCAGTCAAATCACCACATTACATGATACATGAAAGATGGCTATTGCAGTCCAGGTTTAAAACTAAGTTCTCAAAAGCTTGACATTGCGAGAGATGGGAAAGCTTACTATTTTGTATGTAGAAGGATGTTGATGATGTTATCCCTTACATTACAGCTGTAGATGAAGGTGTGCAATATAAAGACAGTAATGGGAAGGGTATGATGATTGGTTCTAAAGATGTAGGATTGGCAACAGTTCATCAAACACCAACAGATGTATCAGTGTTACCAGTACCACTAACCCCCATACAGTCTATATCAGGAGTATCTTATAATATATTTAATAATGTTTGGGATTGTAACTATATTTTCTGGTATCCTTTTCTTAAACAGGACTCTAATTCTAAATATAGATTCTCTATTACATTTTCATGAATAAAATTTTTCCATTGTGTATTTGGCGCAATTCATTTCTCTTCTTCAAAATATCAAGCTTATGAACTTCCGTCTTATACCATGATTGCCACCTTTCTTGCATCACAGAAATTTGTAGCAATTAGGCCACTAAGCTTAGATCCAATAAGATTCCTCAACCTAAAGTCTGTGAACAATAAGGCATAATGATAGCAGCCCTTCTGTCAATGGCCCTGATTGGCTGTATTCTTTGGCATAAGATCCAATCTAATCTCGGCATTCTGTGATACAAGAAAGGTGACTATTGAAGGCAAGATACATACAGTTCATAATACCATCCTGAATATCTTCATTTGTATGTTCTTAGACAAAACGTTGTAGTTCCTGCTTACCATGATATGAATATAAAATCCAAAACAAACAAAACAAATTTTCATTGATAATGATTTCAGATAATTTATTGTACATAAAATGGAAATAATTTAAGAAAGATTTTCTTACAAAGATATGATTATAAAATATTTATGGAAGAGATATGTAGAACAAGACTTTTAATATTTTAACCCTTTAACCACAAAAGCAGCTACCCAAGCCATTTAAGCTATTCCAGTTATGTACACCATTATATAGCTTGGCATTTAAGGTATGTGGCACCTCATGTTCAAAAGGTTAATAAGACACTAACAATATCATAACATCAACAATTCCTGTATGACACAGCAACAAAATATATTTCATTTATACCTTGAGACAATGTCTTAAAGATGAGTTTCCTTATTTTTTAGTGGCAAATTAAGCAAACTATTTGATTAATTGATGTTTCTTATGAATTATCATGTATGCTTAATAATATCACTATGATCCTATTGCATATGATTAAGAGTTTTAACCAATCATAAATTTCCTTGTATGTACAGTCTGGAAAAACACAAAAAAAGACTTTTTGAACTTTCTTGATCAGTCAATCATTTGAATTCTGTCTCTTCTAATTTGAGATCATTATAAATAATTATGGATATTGAGACAAACTGGTATTTTTCAAGTTATTAGAAAACCTCTTCTTTCTATTCATATAAGTATTAGCATTAAGGGAACCCATCTTTAACAACATTTTTAACAATCAAAAAACGATCAACATTTCACATATTATCTTGCATTCCACATAAAACAAATCTGTAACAGCTAATAGTTCATCATTGGAAGGAAGTGTCTACCCTGTAGAAATAACAGGTAATATGTGCACAATATGTGCATCAACAGAAACACCATAAATATATAATATCACTAATTATAATCACAAATTTCATCAAATACCAAAAACAAAACAGAAACATTTACATTAATATGTGAATCTTAACTCCAATCATAGACACAAAAATAATTCCATCTTTCAAATTTTGTTCAAGGTTTTTTTTAAAATTTAGTCCCTTTTTATTTGAGATTTGATTGACACTTCCTTGGAAGTTTCGATTGCATTTATTAGGCTGAAAACATTATCAAAAGACGCAGTCCAAAATTGGGTTATTTGAAAGTCTTTTATTAAGTTATTTTATACATTGTTACATAGGCACACAGACGGAAACCAGACTGAGGAATATAAAAAGATGCCAGTTAGCAACCAAAATAAACAAACAACAGAATGTCAGCACTACACACAGTTATTTGGGCTGTTCACTCGATGGATGGTTGTTCCAGCTCAAAGAAAGTTCAGATGGGAATCCACCCACTTCATTTATAATAGTGGAATCAATTGGAAAGTCAGCTAAAAATCGACATAAACTTTGTCCATGAGAGTCCTGAGGAGATCCTTCACTTGGTGAATGAGATGACTTCTTATTTGATGGCGGAGTTCTGAATAATCCAAATTCTGATAAGGAAACATTGGGTGAGGTCTGGTTGTTCCCATTTCTGTTGGGTGGATTAGTAACCGATGCAAAGACTTCTTCCTGGATCATGTCTAAGAAGCTTCCTTCGAACATGTTATTGAGTCTAGCAGGAGTAAAACCACGTATTGGAGATGGTAAGTGTTCTGGAGAGACTGTGGTATTTCTGACTGGGGTAGATGTTGAAATGGTTGTATTTTGTTTATTGGGGGTAGTGTTCTGTTTAATAGGTGTATCACTAAATAATTGTCTGATTGGTGTAGGAAGATCATTGTTAGTGTTTATATCAACATCCTCGCATTCTGAATCGGAACTGTCCAGTAAATTACGCTCACCCGATTTCTGAACATAAGAGCTTTTCAGTCGGCTTTTAGTGCGCTTAGACTTTCTTTGCACTGTGTCATAGATTGTTGGTATAGGAAGACCAGCTTTCACTTTTTGTTTCTTATTTGCCTGTGAGATGGGTGAACTTTGATTGCTGACATTTGGTTCCAAGGGACGTTCTTGGAATGGTACAGGCACTGTTGGTGTGGTAACATCATCTGATATAACACATTCAGCATCAATCCAAGCCTGTTCCACTAAACTCATTGGTTGCTTTGAGGTTTGTAAGGGTGCTATGTCTATATATTTGGGTTGTAATTTGGCTTGCATTGTTAACATGGTTGGATTGGCTTGAACAGGGACGGCCACATTAGGTGGTAGGGAGTTGCTAGGAACATGAACTATTATAGGACGTGCTGTAGATGTTATTGTTGGTAGTTTAGTTCCACCATGTTGTTGCTGTTGGACACTTTGTAAAGGAACTAATGCGTAGGCTTGTAAAGATGCTGGTCTAGGTAAAATTGGTAACGGAGCTGAAAAAAAGAAGACAAAATTTACAGACATGAACATGTGGTGTCAAATGCCTTATCATTAGAGGAACAGAGACTTTAAATAAATTAATGGATCAAAAAAAAGATAATGGATAAGTCAGGAAGGAAGCCAAAGCATTTTCGAGATATGCATGATCACAGGGGGTAAAAGAAGATACTTACTTGAACTCTTTCTCTTCTTATTGCACAATCCACCAGATCCCATAGTCATAGAATTGGTAGAACTGACTGGTACTATGTTGCTATTAGAATGTTGTGTAAAATGTGGAAACATGAGGTTAGATTGTGATATATTGACTGGTACTAAAGGTAAAATAGTAGGTGTACCATTAGCAGCAGAATAACTGACTGTAGCTGCTGCAACCATTGGAACTCTTTCTACAATCAATAAATGAGAACCAATTGTGATACATCTTCCAATATATAATTTTTACAAATATTAAAGATAGTATGAAATACTCGAGGGATAGATCAGTCTTAAATTGTTTTACAAGTTGAAAGAGCTCAATTTTAGCTAACTGTAAGACTTTTTAGAATTAAAATTTGAGAAAGGAAAAAGTTTGGCTTATTCATATGCTGGTGAATATGCAATTAATGGAGCTAAGTTAAGCCTTAATTTCAAATATTACAGGATGATGCAGCCAACAAGTCATAATTTCGGTTGTAGAATGAATAAGAAATAAAGAGTACTATACCACAATATTCTCTAGGAAAGTCATCAGGATCAAACTGTAACATCCATTTTGAACCATGTTTTTTATTATTAGATAAATCACGAACAAAACAATGATAGAATGATAAATTGTGACGAATGGAATTCTGAAAAGATAAAATTGCAACATTGCCAAAAGAAAATATTTGAACATCAAGTTCAGTTATCAGTATGAAATTCTGTTATAACTTTATATTGAGCTGTAACTGCTTTCAGTTGAGTTTTGTTTTAATCATGTTAATGTTAAATGCTGAGTAGGATAGTCAATAGAAACGTAAAATTTAACAGGATAATGCAACTTCAGAATCTAACAGACCCTCAGGTATTAACTTAACAAAAATTCACTCACCCGCCAACCAGGTTTAGCTACAGATCTAAAATATTCAAAATTATCTTCAATCCATTTACAGATTTCTTTCAATGTCATCTTATGATCTTCAGCACTACTTAAAGCTAACTGTATCAATACCATGTAAGAATAGGGTGGTCTCTGACGTTTACCACATTCTCTACATATCTACAAAAATAATATCAAATTCATGTTGTATGGTAGTGTGTTAGTAATAATAGCCCGAGATCCAAACTGGTCTAATGAAGTTAATGCCATGTGATCTGCAGTGAGGGAAATTCTTGCCAAGTCAGAGGAATTGGCCTACTCACTGCCTGTAGCACACTGTTTCGTCCGTTTGTTAGATTTTCCATGCCTGTCTTGAAGGTGGAACTTGGTTGAATAATATGAAGGCATAATCACGACCTCTGCCTGGATCAAACCCAAAACCTCTAATTGGTTTGTCAGCAAGTGCCATCCTGGCTCCAAAAAAGGAAATACAGTGTGCTAAAGTCAGATTTTTCTATCGCATTAATAATGCTTTAAAAAACCCAAAATTAAAATATTATTACCCTTTCAATCTCATCTTTCTCAAAAGGTTTTCTACGACATTTATCTTCTATACTGATTCTATTAATAACATGTTGTCTTTCTTTCGGTTTCTCTTCTTCTCTTTCTTCTTCTAGATTATAATCACCTAGCCACTGTATATTAGCTAATGATGTATCTAACTTATCATCACCTACAATCATTATAACCAATAAGTAGTCTGAATAAGATTAACATAAATTTGAAATGTCAGATGAAATGTCAACTAAATTCTTTTGAGTTTTACTACTCCTCTTTGATAAAGAAACACAATGTGCCAACTAGCTTGGTTTACATGATCTTCAGTATAGGTTTGGGGAAAAGAAAATAATTTCTTCCCATGAGTGGGTGTGCTTGTCTGTAAACAATTATTGTGACTAGTAGCATATTGGTATTAGCACAATCAAAAGTTCACAAACAATGTCATGGAACAAATTGTGACCTCCAAAACCAGAAATTTTATTGTTGATTTGATGAAAAGTGGCCTACCTTCTTCATCATCTTTGTTTGCGGTTTTACTGAATGGTTTGGGACCTGCTACTAAATTAGTAATAAAGATCTCATTTGGCTCACTTTGGTCAGGAGTTCTCATATTCTGTGATAAAATAGATGAGGACCCTGAGAGAAAGCCAGAGTCTGGAGAAGTCTGGGGTCCAGAAGAACCAACTGGTGTTGATGATGCTAAAGGTATTGGAGAGGAGTTGGAATCTTCATTTAAACAGAATAAAGACTTGATTCTCTGTTGTTCTGGGCTTGACATAAATTCTGGTGAAGACACTGGTCTGATTTGATGAATTGCTGAATTCTTAGGTTGATTTTGGGAAGGAGTAAAATGAAATCCACTATCATCTAACAGATCATCTATGGACAGATGTCTCTCCCTGGTTTGGCCACACTTGAGATTAGATTCCCCATCATCATGCCAAGTCAAACCATTGTCATCATCATCATCATTTAGAAATAGATCTACTGCTGATTTCTGACTATCATAATCATCATCTGTAATGTCAGTCAAATTTTTCTTCAGGACATCAAGCTTTCCAGGAGATTTGATATTGGTAAATTGTGGTCTTGTAGCTTTCTTTACCGGTTTGGCAGTTGGGTCATTTGGTTTTATAACAATAACATAGGTCTTTTTATTGCCTTCGCTAATTATTTTCTGAACTGTGCCATGTATAGTTTGGTCAGTATTAGCTGTTGGACTGTATTGGGCTTCACCATTTGACTTTGTACCGGTAGCCATTTTCCTTACAGCAAGTTTATGTTTCAAGCCTCCTAAAACCATAACAAATAAGGAGGTAAATAATAAACATTTTCAAAGATCTTCATGGGACAAGCCATGGCATGATTTTCTCTATGTACAGGTAGGCCTATGGCTTTCTAGAGATTAAGGTACATTCTATTTGGATTGCATCAAGCATGACCATAACCATGATCATTTACCAGCAAATATACTATAAAACAACTTGGCCTCATTCAGAACAAGTTTGGCATCATTCCCACCATAAATGACAGTATTGTTTCATTGTGTGTGGTTTTGAAAGCTTTTGTATACAGACTGAGACAGTAAGCTTACAGAACAATACCGGTACCATACCAATGTTTTTCACAAAGTTTATAAAAATAAAATGAAATTTCTGTTCTGGATCTATAGTTCTTCTGACTCTAAATGTGTTTTCAAACATTTTCTGTAATATACAGCCTTAGCCTAGCCTCCATAGGCTGAATTAGGGTACTAGCCTAGGCCTTGTGTCTTGGATAATTTTCCCAAACCCAAAGCTTTTCCTTTTCGCTTACATTAGTCTGTATATTTCTTCAAGTTTGGCTAGGGAAAAATCTAGTCCTCCTGCATGAGGGTTTGACAAAAGCTTATTTAGATATCGGTTTGCTAGATAAGTTCTAAGTGTCTTTTTTTTCCTTAGATCTTACAATGAATGGGGTGTTATTGTTGAAATTTTGTTTCATCAACTTGCTTGATTCTGAATTTGAAAAAAGAGAGACAGCTTCTTTGCCCAGTGAGAAAACTTACAACTCATAAATTGGAGGTAAAACAAACAGCAATTATTCAGAAACTTTCGAAAATAATAGCAGCGGTCGCCATTACTGTTTACAAAAATAACTATTCTGCAAGTCCGAGCAAGTTCAATTTTTCCACCATTTTTAAATTTAGAGACACGAGATGTACTGACCAATCAAATGACTTGAATTAAATATCGCGAGAAAATTCGTTATTAATTGTTTAGTCATTATTTCTAAAATCAGATTTGATTGGACAATCTAAAAATAACGTCGAATCCCAATGTGTGTATTATTTCGATGCAGAATTATTTATTAAAATGAAAGTAGATATGATAGGAGAAAAATATTGACAGATTTCGAGTCTGAACACGAAGATATTTGAGCGGTAAACCGTATATGTCAATAATCCAATGTGTCATTAAATGGAAATATACCTAATCATTTTAGCGATCGGTAAATGCATGGGAAGAAACGTCTATTACTGGTAGATTAGACATAAAATTCATTGGAACAGAGGGTGAACCACTGAAGAAGGGGCATTATTATTGTCATTGAATTGATATATTATTTGATATATTCGAATAATCCAGCTCTACAAGGAGCTTTTCAATTGATTGTATTGCAGGGGCAACACCAATTATTTCTATCTGAACCGAAACATCTGTCTCTATTCCAGCCTCTGATAGCTATTTGGACAGGATGTAGGCTGTAGACCCTGTTAAATGGGGACATTCTGCATCTCCACAGCACAAGTAGGCTGGTTTTTAAACCAATTGATATCTTGATCTGCAAAACACAGATATATTTGGAACAATGAATGTTTTTGTAGTTCAGTCATATCATTATTTTCTCCCTAAACCACTTATGTCACGTCTCCATTTCCATCAAAGTTTTTTTCATGAAACTGATCTTGGCCATTTAAAATTGCGTGCGTAGCCATTAAATGGGTTTTTTTTTTCTGACTCCAGCTGACTACTGTCAAAATATCCATCAGATGCTGGAATAGAGACAGATGGACTATTCTATGCCATGTCTTGTAAGCTTGTTTACATAGTCTTAGTCTAAGATTCGCTAATAAACAAATGAATTGGAAGACAAAATTTACTTATGGAATGTATTACATTTCAGTTGACTTAATTTTCAGACATTTTGTATGTATCAGTAAATGTCATAATTAAGAATGCCTGGAAGGAGGAAAAGAAGGAGAAGTAGAAAGAAATCTTTAGTGTTTACTGAAAGTCCTATAAATAATCAGAAACAGTTACCCACCCCAGTACATTGTGTAGACAACCCTGTTACAGCTAAAATAGTACCAGTTGAAGAGGATTCATTATGGGTTTGTTTGAATCTTCAGTTTAAAGAGAATTTTTATCTTGAAACTTAGAATAATTTAAATAAGTGTTCCACCCTTCAAAAGCCAGGATACAAACTTTATAAATCTAATGGAAAATCTCCCATACACATCTATTTCATTGTTTTAGCAAATGAACACCAAAGTTTTCCATAAGTCAAATTTTATTCAATAGCAGTTTACTTAGGGCTTTAGTAATGAATTTGACAGACATGTCCTATTTTTTTACTAAAATGAGCCATAACATTACTCTCAGAAAAGGAAATTTTTTAAGCTAAACAGCAATAGTGTTCACTGCTCACCATCGAAATTTGAGCCTTCAAATCTATGTGTATCCAGAATTATCTGCTTTTGAATGTTAGAAAGACAAGTCATATATAGAAATAGGAAAAGAAATTCCTAGTTTGAGATAATTTTCGTACAATTCAAGTACTCCTGAAGACTATTTACATATATTCAAGACTCAAATCAAGCCCCCGAAATGGCGCATCTGTTCATTTAAACAACTTAAAACTTATGCCACTGTCACTCTTGAATGGCTTATGATGTTTATTTGATATTTTTTTTATTTCAGGTGTCACCCCAGTTTCGTGATATACTCAGTTCTAAACGTGAAGCAAGATATGTGAGGCGATGTCATAGTACAATTGTCACTCGAACAAGGAATCCCTCAAATAAGGAAAACACCACATTACATCACAAATCCCAATATAGAAATAAATATAAAAGTTTAAAATTTCTGGGTGACAATAGCTTTATTGAAAGTGAAGAAGACATTTCATTTAGTTCTCCAAGCCCAATATCAAATCGAGTCCATGGTGTGGTTAATAATAAATCCTTACATAAAACTCCAGAAAGCAATGGCCAAGGTATGTCTTGGAGTTTAGAAAAATTAAAGAGATCAAAAAAGGCATTTGATATCAGTTTCTCTGAATCCCTGAATGTGTCAACACCAACGATGCCCCATATGAATCATACTCTAAATATCCCTGTTGACACTCAAACACAAGATGTAACATGTGTAGACATTCCACATCAGGACATGGTAACTCCAAAAAAAAGTGAAAAGGTGCCAAGAAACAATAAAGATGTTCTTGATGATACATTCACACCCCGTAGAAGGTCAACTAGACTCAAAGCTAAATATTTACAAGCTTTTGAACTGTTTAGAACTCCACCTCCAGAAAGACCTAACTATGGGAAAATTTTGGTCAAAGACACTCCAGAATGTGACTACAATCTTTCAGTTAGAGCCCGACAACTTCGTGAAATACAAACTAAAATTGTTGGAGTGACATGAACATCTATGTGTATATATATATTATATTATATATAATCGGTTGCCTGATTGTATGATGAAAACGTGCAATGTGATATATGGTTAAATCTCAAATGAATCAATGCAATAATGAGTGTTTTTTGTACCTTGTTTGAATGGCTAGCTTTTTGTATGATTGCATGATTTCTTTCACAGAACTGAAATTTTTGTTATATATATATATTTTGTGATCTCAAAAAGCAATGTTTAACTGGATTTTGTTATTATTTTTTCACAAAGATACCAATATTATTGCCATGTTGGCAATTTATTTGTGGATGGAGATGAAAAGTCTCATATCAAACTTGATACTAAATCAAGGGACATAACTCTATATTAGGCGACATCTTCACAATGTCGAGCTAATACAAACTGTGTCACATAAAACGAAGTTCATAATAGTTTAACATTTTGAAGATGATTTATTCAGGATATTGCTTTTGAAAGGAGAAATTTATTGAAATGATTTTGGCCATTGAAGATTGTGTAAGTTTTTTAAGGGCATGTTTCACAAAAAGCTTTATGTTGGCTGATTCCTGAATCTGGTACAGGCTTGTGAACTTAACTATGGCATTTTGCAAAGAGTTATTATGGACAAGGGGCCAGTTTCTTGAAAATTTCATTCATGTGAGTTTTTAATCATCTTATTGGTCAGTCACTTACATTGAGTGTCATTGAACAATTTGATAACTTCTTAATAAAACCTTGATTTTATCGTCACATTAGTGATCATAGATTTTCAGTAACAATTATACAGCAAATAAAATTGATGTTTATTGAGTTGTAAAGTGATATCAGTGACTTAACATTTTAATAACAACTATTTGCACCACATTGAAAATGATAACAATGAAATATGAGTTCATGAATTTCAAACATTCTGTCACATCTAAATGTCCTTAATTATATTCTCTAACTCCTCTTTAGTAAACATGTGAAAGTTTCTTTCTGGGGTCACTGTCGCCAATTCCACATTTGTCGAATTAAGTTTCTCCTCCATAACTTGTTTCAGAATGGTCAAGGCTGATTTACAGGCTTCCTTCAAGGTAATAGACTTGTGAAACACTTCTTGTAGCGCTTGTTGGGCTCCTTCCGATCCGGAACCAATGGCTTTAGCATCATATTGGATGAAAGTACCAGACGGATCCATGTGGTACAGTTGTGGTCCCTTTTCATCCATACCAGCAAATAAAAGAGCAACACCAAATGGTCGACTCATTGCTCCTGGTTCAGCATCATCATCTCCAAATGCCAGAGCCAAATTACTGACTGCTTGTGTTACACTTTCAACACTCATTTTCTCATTGTATGTAAACCAATGATTTTGAGCCTCAACTCTTGCTCGATCTATCAATGTTCTGGAGTCAGCAATCAACCCACTCATAGCACATCCAATGTGAGAATCAACTTCCATGATTTTCTCTATGCTTGATGGTTCTATAAGGGGTGATGTTACTCTCTTCTCAACTGCCAAAACAGTTCCTTCTGATGATTGAATTCCAATGGCAGTGGAACCAAGTTTTATAGCTTCAATGGCATATTCCACCTGAAACAATCGTCCCTCTGGTGAAAAGGTGTTGACACCACGATCATATTCTGATCTTGTCAAAAACATGATGAATTCAACCACTGGAAATATTTCTAATCGAGAAATTAAATAATGAACGCTCACTGACACAGCAAAACGTGAAAACAAATATACCGGAAGTATGAAGCACCGACAAAGCTGTGTTGCCAGATCATGATTAATACACCATCTGTAGTCAAATCGGACACCTATTAACCCAATCGACCTTGTCAATGCAACACTATTATACAATTATCAACAAAGCCAAAATATAAAAATAACTAATGCAACTTTATAATTAAAATGACAAAGAATATGAGCAAATCAATAAAATTGTTAAAAAATATTCTTACCTAGATATATATTTAGAAGCCCAGTTGGTAACATGGGCAGTGATTATGACGTCGACGCCATTATTGTTAGAAATTCTGTCTTGCATAGTCAATATCAGAACGCCTCTCTACGTGTAAGCATTGATGCAAGAGAACAAGCAGTAAAAGGTAAAGTTTTCAATGACTGGTATTCATATTTGTTAATATAAATAGTTTTTTTGGTCCTGGTAGGCCTAATACTGAATTGTTTCAATTCATTTCGGCCTAGATTCTTTGTGCAGTTTCTGATGTTTTTACATATCACCCAAATCATAAGCAGGTTTTTTGAACAGATATTTGTGGTTTTTTTTTTTATATAAGTTGCAGATCCATAAATCGGTAAATGCGATGAGTTTCGAATTTGGTCGAATCTCAAATACCTGTCATAGATTGTTGATAGTATGTATTTGGAATAGGGCTGTCTCCAATAAAATGTAACATTCGTGCTGCGCAACACTGCAACCAACCCGCTTACGAACGGGTTTGAAGGTTTACAGGGTTATGTGGGATAACAACCCACTCAAGACTAAGTGCACTCTTTAATTAGCGGTTTAAGCCTTGAAATCCCTGGTTACATTCCCACCCTCTTGTCAAACGGTGAAAAAGGAAAGGAGTTTTACTTTTATTTTAAATCTGATTGGGCTGATGAATGATGAAGAAGGCCATAGCTTCGGCATCAGTCTACTTTTTTTTAATTTCCATCGGCAACTGTCGAAGGATCTTTAACATGCTAAACCTATAGCAACTCGGTTTATTGCCCCATCCATGCGACTCGGTATTATCTGGTTCGATGTGGAGCAACCACCAACTCTCTGGGCAGCCGAGCCGCCATAAAATATCATTAACAAAAGATTGAGGGACTTAATGGGAAATGTCCATAGCGCAATATGCCTTTAACGTAATGTTAATATCTATTGTGACGTTAAAGTAATTGTGACGCCTTTCCTTCTGTTAAAAGTTCATGGATCGACTTCAATAGCAAAGCAAAGGTAAAGCATTCCCCGTTTTTTTTTAGCTAAGAGAGGTTTATGGATTGTATTTCAGGTGGATAATAAGTACGTCAATGTCTACAATTTGATCTTCTTATTTTTCAGATAATGGATGATGAACAAGATTTAGTATCGGCGTCATCGTCTGCTACCACTACTTCTAGTAGTTCTAGTTCAGAATATAGTACTGATGAGTCTACTGAAGAACTACCGACTGTTGAAAAAGAACAGAAACAACGCTTGTTGGCAAAACTTTTAAAACTGCAATACTCGGTCAACGAACGCATCTATGCAGAGGGATTCTTTGTTGATGTAGCTGATGACAAAATAGTCATTCTTGACATTTCCGAAAAACATTTGATTGTAGCCGGAACAGAAGATGATGTTGATCTTGGTGCAATGATACCATTGGCCTTTATTACTGTCGCTGTGGCACATCTTGAAAAGCGAATCCTCAAAGTTACCTCATGTACCGAGAAAGTGAGGATTTTTAGATTTTGTGAACCCGAGGACGATGCTGATGAAATTTGGGAAGAATTTACAAAAGTTATTGAACTGAAGGAACTTTCCAAGAAGTTTACTGGTAAATTCAAGCTGCAAGATGATGATACAGTTTCAATGGAATCTGTATCCATTCTGGCTAATTACATAGGATTCGTTTCTGATCAGAACTCTTGTGGAGATCCAGGAACAGAAAAACAGTCTTGGTGGACTGATGGATTTACAACTCCAAAACATAGGGATATTGAAGAGCATCTGAAGGAACTTGTGAGCCGAGAGAAAAAAACCGAAATTGAAAATGAAGAAAAGAAAAAGAAAGAAATGTCTGTTGGTAAACTCTATGATCGTGTACATGATCACCATTTTGAAATGGATAAAGCCGTCGGCAATTTGGCTCAACCGTCCAGATACACTTCTGCTGCCAAGAGTCACTCTTGTCATTCCAACATCAGTGATTGGTCTACATCGTCAGCTCACCATGCTTCAACATCCAAAACTTTTGCTGATTCTCACGTACCAGTAGCAACTGATAACAAAAAGAAGCCAAAAAAATGGAAGAAAATATTAATCCCGAGATCAGTTCGATTTCAACTTAAAACTAGAAATGCTGCTAAATCACCCAGTTTACTTTCTTACTGTATTTCTAATGCTGAATATGATTAAAACTAATAAAATTTTATGGAAGTAGTATGTTTTGCTTTATAATATACATTACTATATAAGTATTCCGATTTTTGAAAAAATATTTCCATTGCCCCCCTAAAAAAATTCTAACAACCGACCAATACTAATACTGCAACTAAAAACCATTTCCCCTGCGGATACATTACTTGCCCCTCCAGATACACTACTTGCCCCTCCGAACAATCAAGTGTGACTACTTTTTGCCATTGCCCCTAATTTATAAATAGGCCTATATTGACTGAACATCAATAGCCTGTGACTGACTTCCACTGTTAATCTACATGTACATTCTTTTGATTCTCTCAGAATTATCGAGTGGAACAATTTGGTAGAGTCAATTTTTTTAAAAAGATTATAAATATTTTATATTATTTTGAACAAAAGCGTATAAATGAAATTCAAATTCCCATAAAAGTGTTACACCCATTATTGTACCCGTGCAGTGATCATTCTGGCAACGCTTTCTAAAGCGGAAGCGAAACTGAAAGTGGAGAAGACCTTTGATCAGAGAAAAAAATAAACAAAACAACTTTTCTGTAATTAGTTTCTCTTATCAGTGCAATCATCATCGTCAGCTACATCTGTAAACATAACGACTGTGTCTGTAAAAATGTACTCAATAGTATTTTTTACAATTTTAGTAAGTAGAAAATAGTGTATTTCCCTAATACCTATGCATTTCATTTTTATATAACCTATTTCACGTCTGCAGTGTTTACATACAGAGTCATTTCTATTACTGATCAGTGATACATAGATAAGAAATATAAGAGATATCTGAAAGGATGGGGGGGGGGGGGGAACAAATGGGCTACACTTTATATCCTTCATAAAATTACAATTATGCAAAGTTCAACTACAGTATCTGAAAGAGTATGGTGAGCTTTACTAGCCTATTTCAGTAGACCAAATGCTTTCTTGCTGTTGGATTAATTCGCCTATAAATGTAATTGTAAAATGATGCTAGACATGTCTGTTAAATTAACATTTTTTCCATTTAGATTTGTTTTGTACCTCCTAACACAGCACAAGATGTTAACGATGTCAAACAAGTTCACTTGATTTTTATGAATCACTTGGGTAAGTATTTGAAGAAGAAAAAGGTTAATGTACCAGTATACAGTCTACACCATAATCAAGTCCACTTTTGTCCACATGATACAAGTGTAAGTGCTTTGATATGAAAGGTGTACCCTAAAATTTCAATGTTTCATTATTTGTAGGCTGTATTTTTTAACTTACAATTGTCTTATAATATAAACACTTCTTCAGCCAACATTGATTATTGTAAAAGATGCAAACAAGCAATAAAATTGAGATATTGTTGACATTACTTTTATATTATATTTATAGATGTTGGTTTTGATGGAATTCATCCAGAGATTGGCTTTATCAACAATATTTTAAATAAATATTTCAATGTGTATTATCCTAGAGCCATACAAAGAGCTAATGAGCTAAGAGTTATGGGCTATAATGAAAGAATGATATATACTACACATGCTTGGCTTGTTAGTATGTATCTAGATTGTCCACCCAATTTGGTTCTAGCTGGAGTTAAACTTAATGTAAGTAAGATTTTGAAATGTGCAGAAATATAATGATCAGTGCTTGACTTTTTGGCTTTCTCCACATGATATTTGTCTAAGAACTTGATGAATTGGTTATGATTCAAAATGCTCCCAAGAGTGACCGATTCTGCCAATGATGTAGTTCCTTAATGTTACAGAGACTGCTGAGATTTTTCACAATAAATATTCAATGTGATTTAATTCGTAGATGGTTTTAATGAATTTTGATGTGGCTAATTATAGGAAATATTGGATTGCCAAAGGGGGAATTTTGACTGCAAACTGCAATGAGATATCACTTAAATTGAAGGCATAGAAAAAAGAAAAAAAGTTTGCTGTTGAATGGGACAAAATCAAACTCAAATGATATTTTTACAATTTGGTTGATATTCAGATTTATTTTTAGTGTCCGTCTGCAACAGATGTAGCAGCCTTCAATAGAGCAGTAAGTTTAGGAGATATTGTATGGCATGCTGGACCAATGAACATGCAGAATGAAATCATGCACCCTGCAATGGTAGATTTTAGTTTAAAAATATCTGAAGATTTGGATAAACATTATGGTATTAAAAGACCTGCTAAAACTTTAAGTCAAAGAGATGTACCTGGTAAGTTTCTCCACAGGCTGTAGCTCATCTGTCCAATTCTGAGGATCTTATCATTGTTTTGGTTACCTTAAAAAATTATGGTCTTTGATTCAAACTTCAGTTAGCTTGCTAAATTCTGGAGGTCTTCTTTCTCCATTATGATACTGATCAACCCATGAATCCAGGAAAGAGTATTATCAAAGGTTTGCCTCCAGTAGTAGATCCTCAAAAAGTTCTTGAGGACTGGACTCCATGATCCATGAGTCGTTGACTTCATTCAAAGCGTTTTAACTTTATCCCAAAAACTGGAGATCAGTAGAACATAAAGCTGTTGTTCACAGTTAATCTTATCATGTACTTGTCATGTATCTGAAGCCATGGTTGTCACGGAAGTTTTCTCCCTTTCTGTTGGAACTGTAGGTTGACAGTACCATGTTGAATACAAATTACCGAAACAGATTAGAAATTACCAATATGATGTTCAGTTCTGCTGGTTCTGCTACTGAACTTGAAGTTAGGAATGAAAAACTATAATGAGATAGCTTGATGATTATATTTTGTAGGAATGAGTCAAGGTTTACTACCAATATTTAATAAACATGGTATACAAGCTATCACTGTTGGTGTTAATGCTGCTACCGCTCCTCCAGCTCTACCTAAAATATTTAACTGGAAATACCAAAATAACAGTCTTATAGCCATGTGGCATCCAGGTAGGACCATTCCAAAATCCTCATGAGTGGTTTAGACATTGTTGTTAAGATGTTCACTTTTCCTAGAAAGATGACGTCTGTGGGTTGAAATTGGAAATAATTTGTTATGCACTGATACTGAATGGTATTGCAGTTTGCCTCTTTTGAATAAGTCATCTTCTGTCATAATTCTTGTTGATTCAGCTGTAAATGGGTATGGATAATCCATGAAAGGTTTGGCCAAAGACCAGCTGGTCTAAAGGATCCTTAATTGTGAACCTTAGTTGTTATCCTTACTTTGTTTGCTATTCTAGGAGGTTATCCGAATGTTCCAGGACATTTCCCTAATGTACCAGGAGGTTTATCAGCTAATGATTGTGTAACCTTTCCTGGATTTGATCAAGCTATGTGTTTTGCCTTTAGAGATGATAATCAAGGTCCACCAGAGACTTTTCAGGTAACATATTTTGTTGTTCTGTTGCTTTGATATACAAAATAAACTTTACAACTGAGTGGATTCTCCAGATGAGATGTCATGTTTATTAATCTGATCACACAATGATGGGTGCCTTGTATTCAAGAACAATCATTGGTTTTGAAAATATTTCAATTTGAATTGGATTCAAGAGCTTACAAGGCTTAAAGTTGGAAGCTGGTAGAAAGGATCCTTAACTGTGAAGTTAAATGCTTGTAAAATATAGGTATAGATTTTGCGTATATTTTCTGATTGAGGTTAGTTTATTTATGTAATTACGTGGTACTATTATGGTATACAAATCCTGTCAGTGGGTATTTATACAACAATTAAAATACTTGTATTGTATTTTATATCATTAAGTTATAAAGTTCTGTTATTTCTATTAAATAGGAAATTCTGTTGTACTATGATATAGTCAGACATCAGTTCCCTAAAGCATTTGTTCAAGGTTCAACATTTGATAAGTTTGTAGCTCTAGCTGAATCTATAAAAGACAAGTTACAAGTAGTTGAACAAGAAATAGGTGATGTTTGGATTCAAGGTGTATCTTCTGATCCTCTGAAAGTGGCTAAGATGAGAGCTTTTTATAGAAAATGGGCAGATTGTGTTGATAAAGGTGAGAAAACAGCTTTCTGAAATCAATTGATTTCCCTAAAGTCTGGCGCAAACTTTTTCAACATCAGAGACATTCGCATCAGAAAAACAGTCAAAGTGCAGTGGCAAGAAGTCCTGAAGTGCCTGTTATTTTGTAAAGAAATTCCAGGTTTATGTATCACATGCTCACAACAGTGTGGTAGGTGTGCAGGAGACTGCTAAAGATGCCCAAGTCTGAATGCCCACACTGCCTATACATCTAGATAATTTGACTCTGCCAAAAAAAAATGTCAAAATTCCAGTTTTTGAGACAGCAAGTGCTACAGTCTGTTAAATTGCCATCAACAGTTAGCAATTGATAAAGAGAAGTCTGCTGCTCTTATGAAAAAATTCCTTATCTTCTGTTACCTATCTTCATAAGCCCAAACTGTAGTAGAAGAATATGATACCATTTCATTCAATTTGCTTTTTTTTTTCAGGCCAATGTTCGCTGAATGATCCAAAAGTATATAACTCTAGTAGATTTCTAGTGAAATTAGGAGAACATACATGGGGTATAGATAATGTATTTGATAACACTAACTGGACTAATTCACAGTTTTATAAATATTTACATCAAAATAGTAAGATATCGTGCATATTTCTTCAAATTTTGAAATTTTGTAACAATAGTAATAATTTCTGATGACACCCTGTATTTTTACAGCCCATGGCCATGTTTTCAGCTTCACATTAACCCACCCACATTCACAACCTATTACTAATACTACAGGTCATGAACGCTGATATCAAAAGATAACATTTTGTCGTTCAGATTGGAGATTAAACCGAGGCCCCTTAGATATATGGAGGGGAAAAAGACTTCCCTTCTGAAATTGTCAATGATATAAAATTTATCTTTATAGTTACTAATTATGCTAATGGTATCAGTTCGTGGATTGAACAGAGAGAGTTTCTAGACCTAGCACTAGAGGCATTAGGTAATCATAGTTTAGCAGATCAAGTTAAAATGGAATGGAAACAAATACAATCAACACCTCCTGATTATAAAGGTAATGTTATAGTTTCTTCTATCGACGTCTGCTAGGCAATTGATTGGCAAATAGTGACTTGAATTTCTTTATATTTGTCTTAGAATTTCAATGGCTCCATGGAAACCAACACAAAATTATGACACTGAAACTTAAAATACTTTTTTTTTATACTTGATTTATTCTGCGCATAAATTTTCATTTTAGATTTTGAGAAAGTGCCAGATAGTTTAAGTTTATTGAAATGTGATGGAGGATTTCAGTTTGAGTTTTCTGATCAAGGTTATTTAACTACTCTAGTTGATCCTACTACTAAGGTTGGTTGCTCCTTTTACATCAGAAAGATTCTTACCCAAAGTTGACAGAGACCACTGGACAATTACACCAAGCTCCTTTCAAGATACACACCTTTTGACACTTTAAGGGATATGGACCATTCCAATTTTCAATCAGACATCTTTGTGGTGTGTGCAATAAATTGAAAAAATCATCGCTATCAACATCAATTCAATTCACTTTGGATGTTTGTATGTATATTATTATTCATTTGCAGATAAACTGGGCTTCTAAGTCTCATCCGATGGGTCAATTCTTATATCAGACCTACAATCAAAGTGATTTTGATGCCTTGAATTCTGAGAGTGTACCATACTCTAAACATTTCTTCTTGGGAATCGGTAAACCTAATATCAGTCAGAATGCAGCAGCAGAAAGTAAAATATGGCCGACTAAATTAATACAGAGATATAGAAATAATAGTGAGTACTTTACAAATCTTGATATGACTCTGTATTTCATTACAATCACATTTTGAGAAAAAGCCCATTGAAATTGACAAAAATCAGAAAGTATGCCACTTCAGTTATTGCTCTGTCAACATTTCTGTTCAACAACCTTAGAATCTATCAGAGGTAGTATGGTTGGCTCAGCTAATTATGATTTCATACCAAACTAGATAAGATCAATCCAGGCAGAATTTTCAAGGCAGTTTCTCCCAACAAGTTACACAGATTATTGTATAAGGGCTGACATGGAAAAAGGGACATGTGGATATGATGGGGGAAAACAAGATAATTCCTAGACAGTTTGAAATGGCAAAAGAGGAGGTTGTAAAATTTCCATCATTGCACACTTTTAAGTGTTTATTATTACTCAAATTAATATTAATTTATTTCAATAGATAATTATCAGTGTAATTTTTTAATACACCTACAATTACAAGATGATAAAAGTATATATTATTATGGAGCTCCTAAAGATATCTGGATTAGATATACTCAGCCTAGAAACACAAACTGTAAGTCTTATTTTCTTAAAACTCCTTGTCCACTCATTTTTATTATTTTTAATTTAAGGGTAATTTTATAACTAAATCCTGTTAAGGTTGGTAATGATAAGATGTTAAGACTTTCAACTACTGAAATTACTGTTAAATACTGAAATCAGAATGAAATTTGCTAAAAAACATGAACAACATAGAAAATGTTCTATGTAAGATCACAATTGCACTTAGTCTTTTTGGAACTCCAACTAGATGAACAGTCAGTCCTGCACTAGAAATGACAAGAATCTAACTGTAATCTAAGATCTAAATGTCACAACTAATTGCGGGTGGACAGGACATTGGTTTTTGCTTTTTGATAAGAATTACAGTGATACTTTTTTTAATAAAGAAGAGGAAATATCTCTTAATTAATCAATAAGTGAAATATATACGTATTTTGTTTTAGATTTAAATGTAGAAGTACAATGGTACAACAAACCAGCTACAAGGATGCCAGAAGCCATCTTTTTCTCATTTAAACCAACAATCCAATCAGATTATAAGTGGAAATTACATAAATTAGGTTCAGTAATAGATCCTTTAAATGTTGTTATGAATGGTAGTCAAAGGCTACATGGTAAGTAGCTTGTTGTTAGCACTTCCCTCCTAAATTAGAACTTGGACACTTGAGCAGGCTTAATGCTGTATATTTGTTCATAAAGTCACTTTCCTGCTTCACATCTTTCCCACTTCACATCTTAGCAGCTTCACATCTTTCCCACTTCACATCCTTCCCACTTCACATCTTAGCAGCTTCACATCTTTCCCACTTCAGATCTATCCCACTTCACATCTTAGCAGGTTCACATCTTTCCCACTTCAGATCTTTCCCACTTCACATCTTTCCCACTTCACATCTTTCCCGCTTCAGATCTTTCCCACTTCACATCTTTCCCACTTCACATCTTAGCAGCTTCACATCTTTCCCACTTCACATCTTAGCAGCTTCACACCTTAGCAGCTTCACATCTTTCCCACTTCAGATCTTAGCAGCTTCACATCTTCCTGCTTCACATCTTTCCCACTTGAAGATAAAGGGTTCAAATGAAGTTTTCTAGCCTTTGTATGCTTATAGGGGACACTTATAGCTTCCTTTCCTTTCTTTATGTCGGCGGTTCCTGAATTTCCAGGAAAATGATAATACTATAGCGAATACCACTCTAGTCAAATGGTAGAAATAACAGCTAAAGAAGCTCGCTTAACAACAAAAAATTCTAGATTCAAATCAATTGCCTCTGATATATGATTTTGGGATATTTGTATATTTCAGCTGTGGATGAGCAAGGCTTCTATTATTCTAAATCAACAAGAGGCTTACAAGTTACCTCCCTTGATGTTGCCTTGGTAACAGTGATGACTTCTAAATATGGGGCTACTGGACTTCCTATACCACTATCACCAATTAAAGATGTGACAGGAATGGCCTATAATTTATTTAATAATTTATGGAATGTCAATTATATTTTCTGGTATCCATTCCTTCAAGAAGATCAAAATCAAAAGTTCCGATTTAGAATGAATTTTGGTGATTTGTCAGAATAAGGCTTGGCTCTCTTGTGGGGAAAGCATAATCCAAATTTGTGATATTTTTTAAAAGGGTATTTTAAATACTGTAAGAATTGTGTCTCAATCCTATTGTTAAATATTAAAATGTCAGGCTTAATCTATATTTTAAAGGGACAGTTGCACCATTTTTTTTGACTAAACTGTCGTAGTGTTAGAAAAAGGAATTTTTTAGTTAAGCTAATCAAATTAGTGTTCACAGCTCACCAGCAAAATTTGAGCCTTCAAATCCATGTGTGTACAGAATTATCCACGTTAGACAGTAAAATTGACGACTCGTCTTTTCTTGAGACTCTTGTTACTTTCATTTATTTTTTGTACTTTGAAGACTATTGACATATATTCATGACCCTAATCAACCCCCTAAAATGGCGAACCATGGTCTTTATGCTTTTAACGTCAAACAAAGATAAGCACATCCATTTGTGCCTCTAGTTTGTTGATAAAAACTCTGAATTTTAACAATACACACAGGACTGGAAGAGAGGGTGGGGGCCTCTAATTTATCTGTGAGTTTTTCAGCAGCCATTCTGCAGTAAATTACCAGCTTAAAGCTTTGAGCTTCTAAATTTAATGTATCTAGTTTGAACTAAGACATTCCATATTGTTATTTTATGACTATTAATATGATTTTATTTTTTTTGTAATTAACTTTGTAATAAAAATCAGATTGTTCTTGATATATTTTTTTGTGAATTTTGTTTGTCAAATGAGATATTCGTCATTGGGCCCAATCTCGTAATTTTCCAACAGCTCATAGAAATTGCTATATAAATAGTTATAAATAATCAGAAATTCTTTACCTGGATTTTTTTTCAGTAGTATTTATAATGAATAACTAATATAATAGATTCTAATACAAAGAAAATTAAATTTCTTATTGAAAATAGTGTTTATTTAGAAAACATTTCATTTTACAAGACAAATAACAATTTTCCCTACAAAATCAAAATATATCAAATTAAATCAAAATAACATAATTTTAACATGAAATTTACAAGAATGTTCTGAAATTCAATCAAACAATTTTAATTTTTTTCAAATTTGCTCTGCAGTGAATTTATTTAAAAATTTGACCTGATTTATATACTAACTCTTACATGGGGAGTGAATACCAGCTTCAAAATTATAATTATGGGTTCAAATAGAATAATAGTCAAACTTCCCCAGTCTGCTATTATAACGACAAAAGAAAATCTGAAAGCGAAAAAATCTAAAGAAGTATATAAAACAAAACAATATTTAACTAAAAATAATTCTAACAAAAAACAAAATCTTTATTAAATCTAACATCAAAATAGAAAATAAAATTGAAACCAAATAAACTAGAATGCTAATAACAAAATATGATGAGAAAATGACAATTGAAATATATCTTTTATAAAACTGAAATATATGGATAGAATAGTACATTAAGTTCCCAAAACTATTGTCAAATTATAGTACTTCTCTAAATTTGACTCATAAATTACAAATTTGACTCATTAATTACTTCTCTAAATTTGACACATTTAGTACTTCTCTAAATTTGACTCATCAATTACAAATTTGTCTCATCAATTACTTCTCTAAATTTGACATATTAAATACTTCTCTAAATTTGACTCATTAATTACTTCTCTAAATTTGACTCATTAATTACTTCTCTAAATTTGACTCATTAATTACTTCTCTAAATTTGACTCATTAATTACTTCTCTAAATTTGACACATTTAGTACTTCTCTAAATGTGACTCATTAATTACAAATTTGACTCATTAATTACTTCTCTAAATTTGACTCATTAATTACTTCTCTAAATTTGACTCATTAATTACTTCTCTAAATTTGACTCATTAATTACTTCTAAATTTGACTCATTGATTACTTATCTAAGTTTGACTCATTCAGCACTGCTCACAAAAAGTCTATTTGACAAGTACTTCTCTGAATTTGACACTTTCCTATTTGTAATTTTATTTTTTTGGTCTACCCATATTTTGAATAATTAGTTATCAAATTATTTTCTTATATCTTCTATATCAGTAAAAAATCTTTACAAGTTAATATTTGTGAAAAATGAATGTAAATGAAATTTTAACAAAATGTAAGAAGTATCAACAGCAACATGTAATACATATAAACACAATACTCAAAGCGTTCCATAATGCTGTTGTCACGGAAACGGTTATAAAACCCCAGGCATATTCTATTCTTTCTTCATCTATCTCAACACGACCTGGTATATCTAAACGATTAAATCTGGGTTTAATAAAATGTCCAAAAATACACATTGCCACTAACATACATATTCCTGAAAAAAAAGAAATGAAAAATCAGAAAATTTGGACAATTCACAGGGGCCAAATATTTTTTGACTTATTTGCTTGTGATTTTTTAAATTAAATGACATGAATGAATGAAGAGTTAATTCTGCTTCCATTTCCATTACTAACTTGAGATGAAATCAAATGCAGTAAAAATATGCCTTAAAAATGTCATCTCAAAAAGCACTCAAGCCAACAGTTTTTTGCACACATCAAGCCAGGACTCAGATAATATTGAGGTTGATTGTCTCGGTCCAAGGTTGTAACTTTTGAAATTTCACATGGCCCGGAATTCATTATTGTTTCTAATTTCAACTATTGTACATATGAACAAGTTCATTTTGCAGTTCTGATCGAACATGAATTGCAACTGAAAAAAATAAGTAACAGCTCTAAACTGTTCAGAATAAATCAAGTTGACATAAATAATACAACAACTTTTTTCATAGAAAATGTTATATAAATACCTGTTAATATCCAACATGGTAACATAAATTTAAATGCTTTATCTTCACCAAAATTAGCACAAGTTATCCACCATAACATAATCCAACTAGCTAGAGCAAAAACTATAACTAATACAGAAAATAACTGGACAGCTCTTAACCAACCTATAATAGAGATGAAGATTTTGTTTTCATGGTATTTTGAATATAAATGAATTTCATTCTTGAAAAAGAACTTGTTACTTTCATATAACAATAGAAAGGAATCTGTATAAGGTTTTACAAGCCTCATCCTTTTACAAGGGTAAGAAAAGCCTGGAAGCACATTGAAGAAGATGTGATCCCCACTGACAATTTATAGAGCCTGAATCTTTGGACAAGGACTTGTGAGCTTAAAGCTTATAACTTGTATGAATCTCCATTTAAATCTAAGAACTAAGAACCTATTTAAGGAGGTATGTTTGGTGTCTTCCTTCCAGTAGGGCTGGATGGAGGAGCTAATTTCAAAAAAATTTCTTGTCTTATTTACCGGTGCTAATTTGATGACCTGCAATTTCAGCTAGAAGCTGTGCACTTTCAAAATACCTTGACCATAGGAAAAGAACATTCCAATTGTCTGGGCAAAATTTCTCCCCCAATTGAACACTGAATAGGCACATTCAGCACACTATATGTAAAACTCTATTGCGTTTTATTTCTTAAAGATGGTTTTCCTTATTTTTTAGTGTCAAATTTAGCAATCTATTTGATTAATTGATGTTTCTAATGAATTATCATGTATTCTTAATCATATCATTATGTTCTTATTGCAAATAATTAAGAGTTTTAATTAATCATAAATGTCCATGTATGTAAAGTCTGGATTAATTATGAATTAATTATGGACAGGTGAGAAAAACTGGTATTTTTCCAAGTCATTAGAACACCTCTACTTTCTATTCATATAAGTTTTAACATTTCCATTTTCATAAATGAAAATAAGGGAACCCATCTTTAACCTGTTTAAAAAACATTTTCATGTTCATGTCTTTTTTCACTAGTCTGAGATCGCAAAAAAAAAATGTTACTAAATTCTATAAATCTCACCAGCCTAATTATCTCAATATGCCTGAAATATTTTCTGAATGATTTGGATGTGTGTCAAGTGTTTCAATACCAAAATATAAAGTTATAAATAGAAACAGGTGAAACTATCAGACCAGGTGGAAACAGGAAGTTATTTATTATCCTGTTATTATCAGAATTGTGTTAATTCTAGAAATTTTATACTATACTAAAAATCTTTTAGAAAATACTAGAGGTCAAGTCATAGTTGGTTATGTTAAAGGGGTTGTAAAGAGGTTTTCTAGCTTTTTTACGTGGCTAAATTTGACTTTTATTTGCTTTATGCCAAGTTTCTGTGAGATGTCTGTGGTTCCTGTAATTCTAGAAATGCTTCACCATAAATTGCAAAAAGCTGCTAATAATATCTAGTGGCTGTCATAAAACACTTGGTTTCAGTCAAGTTGCAGGAACCACAGACATCTGATTGAAAGTTGGAATGGTCCAAATTGATGCTATCAGAGTCTCAGATACACATAAAAGTTTTAAAAATTCTCTTTACAATCCCTTTAACAATAGATCAATTTAAGTTATAGAAAATTTACAGGAGGGAATTAGAGAGAAAACTTTAGAGGGAAGCGTGTTTATTTATAAGGCAAATATATCAAACCTTCGGTTTATCCAGACCCAACAACATTCTTAGACCTATGACACAGAATTGAAAATTTTACCTTCAATATTCATAAAATTCAATTTGGGTGCTCAGTGGTCAGAAAGTACTAATGATTGATTGTGATTTCAGTCAATTCTGCAAGACAAGTTTTAGAAACTAGCATATTTACCTGGAACACCTTGTTCTAAAGTACTAAAACAATCATTCACTGTTAAAAATGGATTCATTTTCATATTATGGTCTACACCACATGCTTGCCATAATCCAATATAAGATAACTTAGGTTCATTGAATGTTGATAAATTGGTCGTTGTGCTCCAATATGGAATACAGAATCCTACTAAATACATTATCAAAAATGCTGTTGCTATTAAAGAAAAGCCAAGGACTAATCCTTTGGAATCAGCAAAAGCCATAGTTACAATCAATCACCACTTAAATCAAGTTTTTACTTTAACAATGATGCATCACTTCCAGAAAATCGTGACAATTTTACAAAAACGTGACAATTATCATAAAATGGAGGCACAGAACATAATCTCTTAGTATACATGTACTCATTCACAGCAACTGATGGAATTTCAATCACATTGTCCTTTAATTTGAAATCCAATCCGCACAATTCTTTATGCGTCTGCTTTTTATTGGTGTTATGTTGTACCAGATTCTATATTTGTCTTTGAGTCATTCTGACATAATGTTGTCTTGTTTATCAATTCTGAAATGAGAAAGAGAAAAAGAAGTGAAAATAAGTAAACAATAAACTACTTGTGATGTAAGAATCAACAACAGCTTGTAAAATATAAACACAATGTGATAAGAATTAAGATGGCTTCCATCCCCTTGTTTATACTTCCTTATATACTTCTTCAGGATGACAAATAGAGTTTTAAATCCTACTACTGACATATGCAATAGGTTAGGGAGGATTTTGCCTGTACAACAGCATTAGGCTACTTTTTCAAACATTTTTGCTTGTCATGGAAACAGCTTGTAGCACATAGGACCTCAATACATCATCCCAGCTGATTTTCAAAAGTTTGGTCATAGAAAATGCATTGGGAAAATGCAAATCCAAATGTTTTCAAGAAATTTCATCTATCCAAATAAATATATAAAAGTAACTAAAATATGAACTTTCAGTCTCGAAGTATGAGTCAAACCATTGTGGAATCAGACATTAAAATATGTCAAGAATCAAAATGTTTCCTAGAGTACTTCCTGAAACTGGCACTAGTATGTTACTAACCATTGGCAAACATTTCTAATGACCTTGAATCAGTGATGACCTTTAAAATTGTACTGGTACCAAACTTAAATTTTCATCTACAAGACTTCACCAAGTCAAGAAAAAACAAAATAATATTGCTTGTTGACATAGAAATGGGAAATGAAATGAAATGAGTCAGGGATCTGCTTCCTGCTCCTGATTAGTCTAATTCATACAGGCAAGACTATGCAGTGTGCAATGTAGTTAGATTTTGAGAGAACACAAAATACTGAATATTGTATGTCCACATTTCAATGTGAGTTTATAACAATGGTATATAAATTAGTTCTGATCTTGTTATCAAGTGAAGACCAGATGCCCACTATGGTATGTAGGTTATCTGGTAGTAAGAAACAGAATGATGTATATAGGTCAGTATATATGTAATGATTATGTAAATACACTAGAGTTATTTGACAGGTAGAAACATACACCTGAATAATCAATAGCAAAATAGTTTTATATTACTTCCTGATAACATTCTTAGTCCAAGATCTTATTCAAGAAAAACTGTCCATTAATAAATTTATTTTATAGCCACAGAACATTGCACACTGCATGGCATTGTCTGTTTTATTGATCAAATTAGGTGCAGAAAGGAAGGGTGTAAAACATCTTTCAATTTTGCAGAAAACTTTAGAAAGATTATCTCAGAATTTCGGACCTAGGATTATTTTATCACTTGAACATCAAGACCCTTTTCATTGGACTGTATCACTTTAAGGAAAATCACATCAAACCCTGTACTTACTATTTGCATGTGATTATTTTGTTTTTAATCTACCGTTTATAACAATATAAAAGAAAAATTGTGATATAAATTAATAGACGGCAATCACACTTTATATCATCAGCAGCAGGTATTTGATTGTAATTAAAACTATGGCGTCTGGACAGTGTAAAAATACCAGGAAGGTAATAAACATTAAAACCTCAATGAGGTAGATAGTACATATGATGGCTTTTAATGAGGAGAATGAAACTTTGGTGCCAAAATTTTATCAGTTTAAAAATATTTTACGCATTCCTGTGGTGAAGGAAATGAGAATGAAGAATTACATCTTCTGTAGTTCCTGTACATTTAGGTTGTGTTGACCTTCAGACCATAGTTTGACAATAAGACAGATTGCTGTATGCTTAGCAACCAAGGTCATAGTCTAATCAAAGTTAAAACAAGCAAAGAGCCTAGATTGATTTAAACTACATAATTGAAAAATATATGGCCTACTATGACCTTGGCAACAGAGAGTTCAGACTTTTGAGACTCTGGCAGGTGTCAACAGTTAAGCTCCTATCCTTCTCCAAAGCAAAGCTATAAAATAGACAAGAGTTCATCTAAAGCTGCCAGGACGTGTTTCAGATATATAATCCTCACCAGGACAACTTTATTGTGGTTAACAGGGTACACTGCAACCGAGCAAAAACAAATTTATGCAAAAATGGGCTACTTTCCAATTTTCAATTCAGTTTAAATGATTTATCATGACAATGAAATTGTTTCTAAGGAAATTGCTCAGTTTTCTACACAATTTCAATGATTAAAGAATGTTTTGGCAAGCACCACTTGAAATCATTGAAATAGAATGCTATGTATATTTACATGGTTTCTAAAATTAGATTCTTAAATGAATTCCATTTGACAGATTAAATCTAAGATAATTTCCTTCATTTGAGAAGAGTTCTACAAAAATTGGTAAACAACTTTTCAGTAAACGTTTAAGTAGTTTATAAGTAAGCCCAGAGGTAATTCCAAGAAATTAAAAAGATCATTTTCCATTTTAAATACCATGGTTAGCTTATCAGAATTATAAGATCATTATTCTTAAAGTTATACTACGTCTTGGAATGAATATAAAATTTAAGTTCTTGAAAAGGTCAATATTAGTCTATATTCATCAGTGAACTTACCTAGTGGCATAAAGTTACAAAAGAATCCCTGTAAAATCTGGAAAATTGGAAAATTCATAAAAATCTTGATATTAAGCGTTTTTCAATGGTTAATTGCATATTTATGGATAATTACTAAGTTTTTTGGATGTATCAGATTATATAAGGATCCTGTTATGTTCTATACGACACAAGGTATATCTACTGGCTCTTATCCGCCAAGTTTAGAATTCTTAAATTTTATATTAATTCTAAGATGTAGTATCACTTTAATAGGCTATTTTTCAGGTAAATTTAACAAAAAATTCATCAGATAATATGCTGGTACCAGAAAGCTCATTGATTCAATTTTTTGACCATCTGTCCTAATGATGAACATTAAACCCTTTGAACCCTGAGTGTAAATGAAATAAAACATCAACTCTGAACTCCCTATAATATAAGTAAAAGTGTATGGCCATAACATGGTGTGATGTCATTTAGTAATGGCTGATTTATCAGCTGCTCTGGTATGTACTGGGTAATTATGTGACAGGTTCAAAGAGAAACACAGTTAATAAACTGAACTTCAGCTGTAGTTTGAAAAAAGTCTATTAATTTTACCAACAATTCTATCAATGAACATTTTAAATATTTGTAATCATTATAAATTAAAAAAAAAAACCTGTGTTATGACTTTGTCAGTTTTCTAAAAAATTTTAAGAATTCAGGTTCATTCTAAATTTCTTCTGACAGTGAGAAATAAATGTTTATCAATATTTGGAAATGAAAACAAGACAAGAAAAGTTGGTGCTCTCTGGCATTTCTAAAGGGGGAGGGAGGGAGGGGAGAGGGAGGGGGAGGGGGAGGCAGTATTGGCCCAACCTTGACCCACTTGCTTTCAAATTCCTTTTGGTTATTTTACATTGGGAAAGAATTGCATTTCATATCCTTAGCTAACATAGCCATTTCCCACCAGGCTGATGAATTTGCTGGGGGACAAGACTTTCCCCAAAATTATTCTTTAAAGGGACAGATTCGCCATTTTCGGAGGTTGATATGGGTCTTGAACATAAATTATGTAAATCATCTTCGGAAGTACCAGAAATGTATGAAATTGACATAACTCCTTCAAATATACTTGAAACTAGGAATTTCACTTTCAATTTGTATATATGTCCAGGTTGAGTTTCAAGAAAAGATGAGTCATCATTTTAACATTCAAACACAGATAATTCTTTGCACACATGGATTCTTTAATGGACTATTACTGATAAGTTGATTAACAAATTCCTGTTTCTGAGTCTAAGGTACAATTGGTAAACCTGTTTCTTTAATCTATTAGCTTCTTGAACGAATTGTAGCCTCCCTTAAGTACTAAGGTGGGGATTTGTTAATTTGACAGCCCTTTCAGAGTGTTCACATAGCTAATAATGAATATATTTGGTATATGAATGTCTATGTAAGACAATAGCTGTATATTGATTGATATAAAATTGGTTAACAGATATTTTTATAATTGAATTAATCAGACATAATTCTATTAACGATATTCCAAGTTATTAAGTACATATAACCTTTTTCATTTGCTGTAATGTAAAGTTATATCATTATATCATTGTTTCTAAAGGTATATACTCCTCTAAATATTTGCTTTATCAGATGATAGAGCGTGTTTTTCAGAATTAAAATCTGACATCAGGTTCCCCTACAATTTAACAAAATGTACCATGGAAATTTAGACTGTTGGTATTCACATTCTTATGGGCTTCTATCATTGAGCGTAGACCATTTTTGTTAAATTGCCGGAAAACAAGACAGGGATTTAAATTTTGAGAGCGATACAGATAAATGATATAGAGCTGTTAAAACTGAAAAAGCAAATATTGGACCACATTGTCTTAAATGATTCATTTAATATTCCTTTATGAAAAATAAATCTGTTCATGTACAACATAGGAGAGAATAATATTTGTCAAATAAATTTTGTGTTATTCCTCTTTCACTCTATGCCAAGACAAATTAAAACTGGATTGAGAGTGATACTTCCATATATTTGAAATGACAAAAAGAAAATAAATAATAGAAAAATACAAATTACAAACAACAATCAATAAGTAATAACGATTTCTAAACAGGCAAAGTACATTGCAGAAGTCAAAAGTTTTTTACACTATCAGCAGTATGGATTGCGCCAAAATTGTAATAAATTTATCAGCTACAGAAGAGTAAAAATGAGAAATACATGTATATAGATAAAGATAAGTTTTACTGCTCTGTTATTAATGTACCAAGTTTTCTATATCATATACCAATATATCTGGATTGAAATGTCATGACATATTATATTGTTCTAAGAAAAGGTCAACTAACTTGGTATAAATTCTATCTTTGTATTTATTCTAAACACTATATTGTCTTAATTGGCTCCGTTTTTCTTAATTATAACCAATTAACCATATATCATAATTATCTTAATAGATAAAAGAGTGAACTACACTAACTGACACTTTGGCTACAAAATTAAATGGAATTTTTGCTAATGCATCCAAAATTGCCTGAACAGTTTTTGAT